ATCCAATCATATTGTGATATGAAGCGACCAATAATAAAATTAACTAATATTCTACTAAAAGTTCATATCACAACAATGCTGTTTTGATCAGAGAGCATATATTGAGAGTATTAATAAAATGCAAGTCTATAAATTATCTTCAGTACTTTAGTAATCATACTATTATCTTCACTACTTATAAGAAAATAAGCGCTAATATTCTAACATTTGTGACTATTATGAATGTACAGTATGAAGAGATATCATAAATGTTTATTGATATTATATGTAGAGTCTATAAGTATTAGTCATCTAAAAAGTTATAATTTTTCCAACTATCCAGAATTTGCAAAAATAAAATTTTGAGATGATTTTTATATAATGTTATATATTCCTGCATATATGTTATTTTGTATTAAGAAGCATTTAACTCAATAATTCTTGCTTATTAAAAAATTAAGCATATTTTTAATATTAACTTTTAGATCATATTTACTAATAAGATGAGCTATCAGTAATTTACGTAACCTTTATTGAATATTTATGACTTCAGTTCTGCATAGATTTTAAACTATAATATTGAGATCTTCTTTATTTATGATCTTTTTGACTATAACTATAATGGTAGGTGGAATATATAATTTACTTACTTCATCAGCTACTAATTTTCTAATAATCTTAAATCACTTAATCTTGTTATTATTATTAATTGAATGTGTATAATTCAGCATGTTTTTAAAATACTTAATTTTTGACTATTTGAAGAATAGTAATATATATTATCTTAATTTTTGCATTACATTCACCAAAATCATGCTTACTTATTTTTTTCATTTTTCTATAAGAATATCTTCTTTGCGTGTGCTTGATTCATTATGTTTTGCAAGATAACAGATATAAATGATCCAAAAATTATCATTAACATACTTCTAACTATTATATTACATCTATACATTAGAAATAAGTAGTTACAAGTTCTTACAAAATTCTTTTTCTAAGATCTCAAATGGTATATCAATATTAAATAACTTTACACATTTTTGATTGATCACTTGTAATATAATTAAAGTAAAAATATTGAGAAACTTAAATAAGAATGATGGATGAATATAAAGTGGCAAAATGAGAAAGTCAGCAAACTGAACTAGAAAAAAAAATAAATAAAAAATTATAAAAATATTAAGTATATATATTGAATAAATATGTGATAGAGAAATGAAATAAAAAGTATATGATATTAGAAATGACAAGTATGCATAGAATTGATTTCTTGTATTATTATTATAATACTTATGAAGAATATATGATATTAGAAATGGCAAGTTATTATAATACTTATAGCTTGTATTTGATATCAAAAACATATTCTTAATAATTTTAATTCTCTTTCCCTTCCTTTTTTCCTTCCTCTTTTTCTTCCTCTTTTCCTTCCTCTTCTCCCTTAAAAAAAGCAATGCTGCCTTGCAATAAATAATGTTTATCAATATGTTTACTACATCCTTGTAATAAACAAAATTTTTTTCTTGCACATGTGAAAATGACTTGCAAATCGGATCAAATCAACCCAGATCATATCTGAATTGACTCGATCCGAATTGCACTACCCGGCTTTAGTGTTCTCTCTAATCAGGAGCCAAGTAAGATCAAGTGTAACATAAAAATTTAAGAGAAAAATCGTAGATACATAGCTTAAAATTTTACTAATTAAAAATGTCGGGCGGACAATTTTACATATAATTTTGTCACTAACCCAATACCTTATCCTTGTCTTGATTCTAATCGGACATAATTAAAATTCAGAGTTCAATTAGGAAATTTGAAATTCGGTTCAGTAGAAATTGCTTATCAAATCGTAGCATGAATAGCATTTCGATTATGGAGTCACTGTTAAAATTATATTGCACAAATTATTGTAAATTTTGCAAGGAACCTTTTTTTGGTTAGAAAATAGCAAGAAGTTTCATAGGCAAAATTTCAAGATACTACCGATTATAAATTTCGGCACTAGTCTGGGAAAGATCACCTGATTCCCTAAGCACTGTCCGTAGACTTCCCGTTATAATTACGCCCACAGCTGGGATATTTCACGTGACTAATATTATATAATTCAAAAAAATGAAAATGTTTAGGTGTAATGAATGCGAAATAGTGATAGGTAAGAATCTTAATGACGCCCGAGAGATATTGCTGAGGGCTTTATATACACTAATTGTATGATCGATTCAATACATCTGTTCGTAATGAGTGTATATATAGAAATATGCGTCTTACATTGATTAATATATTTTTGAGCATTCAAAGATATACATTCTCTCCCTCTCTTTATATTAATACAAAGAATGTACAAAAGTCGACGCAGTACTCTAATTTTTAAAAATCTAAGGAGAGTGCCAGAAAACGCGTCGTTAAATTCTACTATAAGCTCCTCCCCTCCCCACCCAAAAAAAATCACGTAATAAATGGCACTCCCCTAGCTCTAATTCAATTATAAGTAAAACAAAAAATGCATTAAATTAAAAATAATAATAATAATAATATGTAAAAATGTCGATAGTGTATATTCATTTATCGTTATAAAACTACGACCCGAGAAACTCGCTTTCCCATTCCGCCAACTTCTTTTCTTCCTCCTTTTTAAGATTACACATTAAATGCCCCATGAACAATTCCAGCCGTTGCTGAGCAACATCTTGTAGTTGTTGCCGTTGTTGAGAAGGAGGATCTCTTTCTTCCCAACGTGATGATGAAAATAACTTTTCCCAATCCCATTCAGCTTCAGGACACGGCTTACGCGTGTTTTGATGTGGGGTTGCGGCTGCAGCTGCAGCGCACGATTGTGATACCAGTGAAACGAGCAGATGATCTAGTAGATGAATATATGCTTGGTGAAGATCATCGTGATCGGTTTGAAATATAGTTACGGTAGAATCAGAAGAATGATAGACTTCATTCATCATGTTGGATTGTTGAAATTCCTCAGTTAAATGACCACCCTCTTTTTGATATAATGAACTTTGTTTAACTCCGTTACCACCATGACCTTGGAATGAAGTCGAAAAATCATAAAAGAATTGATTCAAACCGTGTCCCTTAATAAATGCATCTGTCAAATGTTCGTCACTCCATTCTTGTCGGTATTCTTCATCAAAGTCAACTGAATTATTAGCATTAGTATTATTCTCGTTATCCCAACTGTTGGAAAATGACTCCCAAGCAGCTGCGGAAAAATGTTCATCATCTTGAGGATTTTTTATTCGGAATTTGATATCTTCCTGGTGTTCTCTGTGGTTGAGGAGTGAAGATCCGTTTCTATGGGTAAAATAGGCATTGGTTAACCGCGAGACTGGGTTACTGCTGCTACCAAAGCCCTCTTCACAAGAAGAATTTATTAATAGAGTTGACATTTTTTAAGAAGTTCAAGAAACGGGGGGAATGAATTTGTAGAAATTTAATAGATAAGATCTTATATATCAAGATGATGTTTAATGCACAAAAAATGTGCAGAACTGCATCAGATGCGCCAGACTCTCAATTGTCTTGAGAAAAGATAAATAACGCGTCTTTCATGATCCTTCTTTTTTTAACGGATTAATTAACACGTAAAAAATACTCTAATTTGTGAAACTAAGTCATTCCAGTTTTAATATTAATCATATTGGTAGTAGTATTGGTAGAAGCACAAGAAAAGACAATTAAATAATTATAAAATGGCTCCCAGAAAACGTAACCGTCAACCAGAAAGTGAAAGCGAAGAAGACAAAGTGGTGGGCGGCGAAGAACTGGTACATTATTATTATTTGTCTGTCTACGTGTTATTCTTTTTCTTTTGTTCCGAGTAAATTGACATATATATAATAGTTTATAACCTGGGAATTTTTCGTGATATAATTCTGTATTTTTGATCATGAAAAATAGCGACGTAGCACGCGCTCAAAACGTCGACATCGCATGGATGATGATAATGAAAATATTTGGGGAGAAGAGACTTCTGCTGCCGCTGCTGCTGCCTCTACCTCTACCTTCGTCCTAGACGATGACGAAGATGATGACGACGACGACGACGACGACGAAGATATTGATAATGATGATGAGGATGATGAGGATTATGAAGACGATCTTGAAGCCGCTGCTGAGTGGGAACGAAAACGAATGAAGAAACCCGGAAAGATTGGGGTGAGCAATATTAAGATCTGCTGCTTATTTTGCAATTTAATACGAGTTTAAATTTTTTTTCGGCTTATTTCGATTACACATATATGGATTCGATATTTCTTTTTAGTAATCTTTTTACTTATATATTTGAATATATGAATTGAATAGGCAATTGCAGAGTCGGGAGTTTTAGATACGATCGAGCTCGTGAATTTTATGTGCCATAAATTTGTTAGAGTTAAATTCGGACCGAAAATTAATTTCATTATCGGGCATAACGGAAGTAAGTTATTCTTTTTGTTCTAATTCTTCAGTTGTAACTTTAATTTTCTCATTTGTCATGTCTTTTGATATTAAGGTGGCAAGAGTGCCATATTGACAGGAATTACTGTTTGCCTCGGGGGAAAGGCTAATATGACAAATCGAGCTACCAACCTAAAATCATTGATTCGTGAGGGTGCAAGGCATGGTATTTTTTCATATATATACATATACATATATATTCTTTTTTACATACCGCTATTAATACTTCCCCTTATTGAAAAATATACAGTGCCGGTCAAATAACCGTAAAAATCCGTAACAGCGGTGACGAAGCATATCGTCATGATGTCTATGGCGACACAATAATAATCGAACGTCGTATAACGCGCGAAGGCACAAACGGCTACAGAATCAAAAACTCTGAGGAAAAATTGATATCAACAAAACGTGAGGAATTGACTGCCATTTTGGATCATATGATGATTCAGGTGGATAACCCGATGAATGTTTTGTCGCAGGATTCTGCGAGGCAGTTCTTGCATTCATCGAGTCCTGAGGAAAAATATAAGGTATGGTGAAATGTTTGTGTGTAGAATTTAAGTTGTGCGAACGTATTAATTGACTTGGTGATCAAAATAAAACTAGTTTTTTCATAAGGGCACACAATTGACCCAATTGAGTGAAGACTATGAGCTGATACGAGACAGCATAAATACCTCACAACGAATAATAAAAAAAAAAAAAGAAATACTTCCTGAATTGCATCGTGCCGCTAAGGATGCTGAAGACCGATACAAAAACATGCAAAAGGCTCGTGAACTTGAATTGATTTTAGACAAATTGAAGAACGAGATGGCTTGGGCTCAAGTTGAAGAAGTAGAGCAAGTGAGTATTTTCTTTTCGTCTTGTGTATACCATACACGTATTTTGATGATCTATAAAAAACATTAATATCCGGAAAAGACCTCGAAGGAAAAAAACATCTTTTTGACAAATGTTATTTTATATGTACACATAGGTCGTTCAAGAAGCGGAAAATAAGCGAAATAATTCGGAGAAACGTGTTAATACCACTCGGACAAAATTTGATGAAGCGAATGTGGGTTGCATAATTTTTGATAATGTATGAAATTATATGGGTTGTCGAAATATAAGTTTTTTTCCATCGGCAATTTAGCAAAATTTACAAGAAATCAGCCAGGAGGTAACCGAAGTAAACGATGAACTCAATATGCATGCGCAACAAGCTAAACCTTTAAGTGATCGGAAAAAAGAAATACGAAAAATGATACAAGACAAGAAGGATCAACTGCAAGATATTATGGTAAGTAATGAAATATAAAATATAATTGTGTCATTCATATTTCACTCTTTCTTGATTTACAATTATGTTCACAAATACAGAATGAAGAAAGAGAAATCAACGAAACAATCATACGACTCCGCGAAACCGTTAATCAACATCAACAAAAAATCGAAGAAGAAACCCGAAAACTCGAACTCCTCAACGGCGGTCAAAAACTTGAAGAAGCACGTGCGGAAATCGAAGAAAAAGAGAAAGAAGTGAGCGAACTCAAATCGAAACTAGAAGAACGTCGATCTGATGTACGAGAGGCCGAGGAAGCGATAGCGCACGCACAACGGCAAAAAGATTTGCTTGGAGAAAATCTTCATCTTACTTCGACGGAAATAGGGCGTTCGAGATATTTGTTGGAGCAGTTGCACGAGAAAAAGGAGAACCGGTTAAAAGTGTTTGGGTATAATCTTCCGCAGGTGGTCGATGCGATTAATCGTGAGACACGGTTTGTGCATAAACCTGTTGGACCGCTCGGGATGTATGTGCAGTTGCTTCGTCCGGAATGGGCTAAAGCAGTGGAATCTATTATTGGAAGTACTATGGTTGCTTTCTCTGTGCAAAATCATGCTGATCGTAATTTGCTGAGTGAAATTATGAAAAGATATAATTGGTATATATAAAATGGCTTCTTTCACGTGGATTAAATTTAAATTTCATGCTCTTATTCAATTATGTTATTGCTGGTGCGCTCTCTCTTTTATACTCGCTTAGTAAATCCCCAATCATTGTTGGTACTGATGATCCGTTCGATTATACTAATGGTGAACCTTCACCACAGTTTCTCACTATTCTTCGAGTCTTACAGGTATGTTTTCAACTTAATAATCCCATGCAAATTTGATGTTTCGTTGCTTAAAATAATTGATTTCTATGAAAACTAAATTTTTCTATAGTTTGATTCCGAACAAGTTAAACGCGTCTTCATCAACGACAAAAGTATCGAAAGTACGATTCTCATAGAGAATAGAAGTGAAGCTGATGAAATTATGTATAATCATGGTAGAGGATATCCACATAATGTTTCCGCTTGTTACACTATTGATGGATTCAAAATTGGCCATCGGTTTGTATTATTAGGCTTTAATAAACCTCTCTTTCTTTTATGCCTATATAAAGAGGCTTTAAATTTATTTTTTTGATATAATATTAATTTTTAGAGGCGGCGGGTATTCAACACAGGCAATGCGGATATATAACGGCCCCTCGAGATTTACAACTGATATCGAAAATGAAATTCGGTAAAACTTCGATAGTCTTCTATCATTATGCGTCAGTCACTTCGATAAAAGAATGCATATTTCCTATTTATCCATCGATGGCACACACATGTAAACTAAAAGTTATCGATAATTCCTATTTAAATTTTATTTCCAGAGAAGCACAAACGAAATTAAATGAAGCTATTAACACAAATGAGCAATATAAGCAAGAAATGAACAGAGCTGAAGACGAGTATAAAAGATTGGTGAATCGAAAAGAATCGTTAAAGGTAAATAATTATACGTTTAATTTTTTTTGTATTTACGTTTTAAATAAGTCTTAAATGAATCTCATTCGTACATATTTATATAGTCGGGGACTCGTGAATTATTCTATCGTGTGAACAGACTGGAAGGTCAAATTCAGCAAATGAGAGATCGCTTACAGGTTTATTAATTTTGTGGATTTATCTTTTTTAAATTCATAACCATTATTCATATTCTACTTTTCTTTCTTTCTTTTAGCAATATGAACCTGCAAATATTGCTGTTTTGGAAGAGGCTAAGAAGGTAAATACATATTTTGTATATACATACATACTTCTTTTTTCCCTTTACATCAAGTTTTAGTTATTAATTTTTTTATTCCATTCTTAAAGGGGGCTGAAAACGAAATCGAAATGTACAAAAATCAATATACTCATATTGAAAATCAACGTAAAAAAATAAACGAAGAACAACGCCCCTTAATTCTTGAATTTGAGTCTGTACATCGACGACTGTCAGAATTAGCAACTGAACATGAAAAGATCAAGGTATATTACTTGTTACTATTTCTTGCACTTATATTTTCCTATTAATAATACAAACGCCAATAATAGATACGATTTGAAGAAAAAGTGACTCTTCGAATGGAAAGCGAGAATGTCAAGAATCATTGGGAATTGAAATTGGCTAAAGAACAAAAAGAACTTGATGCCTTTGAGTCACAGTTAGCTGAGCTACATGAAAAATTGGAGGTATTTTATCTGATGTGCAGTCCCAGATTAACAATTCAATTTTTTTATCGTATAATAATAATGTTTCTTTTTCGAATTTTTTTTGCTTGTTTGCTAATATATTTATTTAGGAAACGACAAGACAGGCTGAATCGTATTGCGCGGAGCGAGTTCAAGTAACAATGAAGCCGAACGCTCTAGACCGTAAAATTAGGAGCATTCAAACGAAATTACGCGAACGAGAAAAAGAGTACGTTTTATTTGTTACATTTTATTTTATGTATATAATATAATTAATTCTTCGTTATGGGTTTTATTGTAGACAAGGTGCAAGTTTGGAAGAAATCGCATCAGACTTGCAAACCAAGCGAGACACATATAAACAAGCACTTGCAGAAATAGCAAATATGGATTCCTTTATTGAGGTTTGTTAATTTGGTTACCATCGGATTCAAAAATCGATGGAGTCTTTGTTTACATCGATATTTAACATTATCATTTTATGATAGGAGTTGAAATACTCCCTTAAGCTCCGTATGAGAAATTTAGAGGAATTTAGAACCTTTATCGCGATAAGAGCCAAACAGTGTTTTCAGTATCAACTCTCAAAACGTGGGTATACAGGCAAATTATTGTTTGACCATCAAGAACGCACGTTGAATCTTCGGGTGAATACAGAAGTTTTTCCTGCTGCTTTATCTTGTAAATTTATGCTTTCATAACCATGTTATTTTTCGATCGCTCTGCATAATAAACAAATAGGTTCAAGTAGATGATCAAACAGAAACTGCCACCGAAAAAGATCCAAAATCTCTTTCTGGCGGCGAAAAGTCCTTTTCCACTATTTGTCTGTTGCTGGCTCTTTGGGAAGCTATGGGATGTCCGATACGATGGTAATTAAAAGTCTTATTTTATTGTATCGAATGTAAATTTCACGTATTTTGTCTTTTTTATGACTGCTAAAATATGTGCATTGCATTTTTAGTCTTGACGAATTTGACGTGTTCATGGATGCGGTCAATCGTCGAATCTCGATGAGAATGATGGTATATATTATGCTTTTAATCGTTTGTTTATTTGATGTAGTATTCATTAACTTTTTTCTGTTGCCAGATCGAGACTGCACGAGAATCCGATTGCATTCAGTACATTCTAATCACACCGCAAGACGCGAGCAGCGTTTCCCCGGGTCCTGACGTTTTTGTCCACAGACTTCACGATCCAGAAAGAGGACAGGGAACATTAATCGCTCATAATCTTAATGAGGATGAATAATATATTTTTACAGAATGTTTTTATTTTTCGAGTTTTGGGTTGCGTTAGTTGGATAATGATGTATAATGTGATGATTATAAAATTTAATTCACAACGCTTTTTATATTATCTCTGCTTACTTAATATGCATAGGAGATAATACATATAAGAAGAGATATGAATTATAATATATTAATCTAATTAGCTATTAAGATAATTGTGAGAGGAATAAAGATAATTTCAGGATGGCTCGAAATGATGAATGTTTAAAGCAGGAAATTATAAAGAAAATGAAAAGGATTGATTGATTATTCGAAACATAACAATGAAATTGGGAATAAAGACGAATCCATCCTTACGATATGCTATTATTTAATACAATGAACGCGTTAATTTTTTGTTTAAAGAACCAAAAACGCGTCAATAAAGCTCGTAAAAAATTAAGATAATGCTTGCCTGTTGATATTTTTAGGTGAGTTCTCCACAACTGACCATATAGCTTGTTCTTTATCGATGCATAATTAAAATAATTCGATTAGTATTCAATAAATAGAATCAATAAAGTCCAAATACTGTCTTACTTGTTACAGTCAAAGTCATTGTCGACATTCCATTACGCTGATAGTATTTCTCTACATAATCTTTCATTCTAAATTGATGTTTAAATATTCCTCAATTAATAAACACAGAAAATAATATTACGTTATAATGTGACGTTATGATGCGAAAAAAATACCTGTTGAAAGTAATCCATCTCACTAACTTATTATTCTTTCCGTAATCGTGATTCCATGGAATCGCGTCAAACCTAGAGAAAAATCACGTGAAGTCATAAGTAAGTTATCGAAAATGTAAACGACACGGTATAAAAGCTTGAAGCTGACGACGATGGATGAAACATACCATTCTAATTTACCCATCGAATCGAAAAATCGATTTCGAAAAACACTGAGCTCTTGTATCGTCTTGAAATTGACGCGTGAGTCAAGCAGGTTGTAGATTATTGGTTTGTAACAGTTGAAACACATTCGACCTATTTATTATTTTCATGGTTGATATAATAATTAAAAGGCTTCCTTACTATCTGGGAATATGGAACAAAAGAAACATTCATTACTTACCGCATCCATTACGATCGCGTGGCGGACAAGACATCGCGTAAGAACTCGCATACCCACATAGAATGCACACGACCTTTTTGAGTGTTTGTGGCCTCGCGAGGCTCAAGAACTGAGGGATCACGTACATTCCATCGTCGTCAACGTAGTCGTTGCTGTCATCATTGTGTTCTTTATCCTTGTCATCATCGTTGGGGTCGCCATCATCTTTTTTCGTTAAAGTATCTCTAGTGCTATTTTCCGCTCTTTCTGTGCACTTGAAATTGGGTTTGATGTTGTACCGGTGATTTAACTGTTGCTTAATGTACTCGCGAAGCACGCTCAGTATTGCTTTGTTAAAACTCTTTGATAACAGACGCAGATTCGTCAAACATGAAGAGGTGGGATCCGGAAAAGCATACTGCACAATTATAATTAGAATGTCAACGGGTAGCTTTTCGAATCCAACGGATGATGAGGCGGAGGCGGGTGGTGTTGAAAATATGGTAATAGATGATGGTATTACGGGAATTTGTTTAGAAATTTTCAAGTTTATTTCTTCAAGACTGCTTTCACTACTATCATCATCATCATTATAATTATTGAATTTATTTGGTAACGAATCGTAATAATCATTATAATAGGATTTGTAGTTTTTCTTGTTAGTATAGTTATTACTATTTCTAAAAGTGTTGCTGTTGCTACCCCTGAAATTTCGTCGCCAATTGCTATTCAAGTTTCTATTGTGTCGTAATCCACCACCACTGTACCCAGGAGGTGATTTGCGTCTTGAAAAGTTATCATTGTAATAACGATAACTATTACCGAATGGAACATTGCCACCATCACTGTGGTAATTTCGCGGACTCATAGCATCAGTGTTATTATAGTTGGCAGGACGATGATTCGCGTGGAGTTGCGAGTCTTCGTATTCCCCACAGGGTAACTCGATAAATCGTCGTTCCGAATAGAAAGGGAACCGATTATACGACATCATCAAATAACTTCCATTATTGTCGTCGTTTTCGTGCGTAAAAGAATCATCTTCTTTTACTTCTCCAGCTGAAGAGAGTGGCGGTGGATAATACATTAAGGTAGAAGGCGAAAGAGACATCGACGATAATGGAGGTGTTGGAAAAACCCCATAAAATGATGCGGGAAAAGCTGGATTTGGGATATGCCAATAATACGCCATGTCGTTATACCATTCTTGCCTTACGTGTCCGTAATTGTTAATGTCATTGGTGTTTTTGCTGTCAATGTACTCGTCGTCGTTGTAATTAAGCTGCGAGTAATCACCCGTTTCGCCATTATTATTGTACCCGTTTGAGGTTTGAGGCGAGTACGGGTGCTCTTTTGACGCGTAATTATTTGTGTTGTCTGTATAGGTCATTTGTTGATTAGTGAACAAATGAGAAACAAGAGAGAGCGGGTTAAAGGGATAGTTCAATTCGTATCTGGAAAAATTTACGACGATTTTTAAAAATGTGAATTCGTTTGGTGATTGGGTGGAATGGTCGATCCTACCACTTCTACCAAAAAGGTTAGATAAATTACAATTACAACAATCGAAATTTTACAATTCACAATCATCAGATTTTATATTTTATTTTTTATTTTTTATTTCAGATCAAATATAGAAAAAATGTGTATTTATTTTTTCGCGCGATTTTTTACGTAATATAAAAAAAGAAAAATTGAAATATAAAGAATATATGCTATATAATAATAATAATAATAGTTATATGATAAACTAGTTCTAACTAACTAAAACTACTAATTAAGAAATAGTAATAATAAAAAAGCTCAATCGCTATAAATATAATAGTTGATAATATTATCCTAGTAGTAATAGTAGTAAAAGTAATATATACCTAGAAATTAGGCACCAACAGAAATCAAATAATAAAAAGAAGTAAATTCCCTATCGAAGAGAAGTATAATACTACTAATTAAAATATCTACCTATTATTCATAAGGGAGACGTATGCGTCATAGGATAGAAGAAGAGAGCCTTTAACACCAACAACCACTACTAAAAGAGACTATATTGAAAAAAGAAACAAGAAAAAAAAATGTACATTATTTACAATTCGCGGCTTGATGAACCACCTTGACGATTTCAAGGATTATCCATTCTTACGCGCGAAAGACCTCCTCCACGTTAAAAGAGATAAGGTAAGACATTATCTTCCAACTCATCATCGCCCACCCAATCGCTTTGTAATTCATGCATTCTCGCCTCGACTTGACTTTGCTCCACGACATGTCGCACCATCGTATCGTACAACCAATCAAGAACAGATGCTTCTTTGGCATTTTCAACTAACAAGTTATTATCAAGTAAAGATGAAGATGACGATGCCTCGATATTATCATTAACGTCTTCATTTTCTCGTTCTTGCTCAATGCTCGAAATTAAAAATTCTTCTTCATTCTGGTTCTGGATCGTTTTCAAATTATGTATCGTAGATGATGATGATGCTTCAACATTATTATTATTATTATTATTATTGCTGTTGTTGTTGTTATGTGGAAATAAAGCAGCAATCAGTTCATCTCGTGGTATTGCGCAAAAAGCTTGTACGAATAGGGAAGATATTTGTTGTGCGAGTGTTGAGAATAATAAATAGGCTATCCACGTCATCTGTCCATCTTCACCGACAAACATTGAAGACGCGGGCGAAGGGTTGTATCCAAAATAATTGGAATAATTTGGTGATTTATCCATAAACATCTGCTTGTCAAGACTAAATTCCGGAATAAATGTCGTCTGGACTCGAACTCGGGTATCTCCCCATTTCGGTTGTGATTGAGATGGTGATGACGGCGTGTCTTTGTTGATATTCGGGATAACAAGGAGGCGATTATTATTGGAAGATGATGACGAGGATGACGATCGAGTATTATTGCTGACATTATTATTTTTGAGAAGGGCCAAGTTTACACCGTTGCTGACATCTTTTGGAGTAAGATGAGGGGACGATGCAGCATATGATGTATTTGATTGTTTTTTCTGTTGCTTGCGTAGTTCTTTTACTTCTTCTTGTAATTTTGAGTTCTCCTCTTGTAGATGGGTAAGGGCTTGTCGAAGTAAATTAATTTCTTCTTCTTGTTGTTGATTAGTAGACTCTAAATTGGAGATATATTCTATATTTACATACAAACGAAAAAATATTATTATATTAATGAGTAAATTTGCAATTAATAGTGATAATGATGATGATGATGGTGGTGGTGGTGGTGGTGGTGGTGGTGATGATGATGAATAACACAAAAGTAATTATTACCTTTTCTTCGAACACGGAAATTTCTTGCGGAAATCTTATTACGAAGTTGTCTTCTTTCTTTCGAAGTTAATTTTTTAAGATCAACGTCGTTTCTTGTTTCTGTTGAAGTGCTACTGTGGTGTTGGTTATTCTGTGTGGGTGGTGGTGAGCTTGGTGATGCGATACTACTACCGCCACTACGTGAATTGGATATTGTTTTAGGAATTTGCAATTCCATAGATGATTTTAACTTATTATCAGTTATCGGTTCTTGTTTTATTAGGGGCAATTTTGCCAGCAACTCGGCCAACTGTGCATTCAATACGGCCAAAGATGGCGCAACGGAAGCTGTGTTAGTTATAGTTTGCTGTGATGATGGCTGTTGTGTAATTTCATTCATGTCGGCGAACGGCGAGACCGGAGTCAACGGTGTGGGTGTTGTCAACACACCTAATTTTAAATCTTCAGTCGACATTGCCGGACTCGACAACAACGCAAAGTCTTCAGTCACATCTTGCATCGGAGTCGGAAAAGAAGTGTCAACAGCTTGTTGTTGTTGTTGTTGTTCAATCTCCGCGGCTGTTGTTGCTGCTGCAGCAGTAGCCGCTGCTAGATTCGACGCATCTTTGACTAATTCTCCTTCTAAAAAATATCTAAACAGGTCAGAATTTGACATTGCGTCAATGTCAACTTCTTCTTCCATGGCGTTGTTGTTTCTCAGGAAATCTAGGTCGAGGAATTCATCAAAGACATCTTCCCCGTATGGTTGAAGTTCTTGTGAATTCAGATTGTGTTGTGGCGAAGCCATCTTATATTATTTCTATGGTTAAATATTACAGTTATTATGTTCGGGAGGTAGACGAAAAAAAGTCTAGGTTGGGTGGTGGTGTAGCGATGGTGGTAGTAGTTTTTTTTTTTTTTACTATGCCTAAAGTTTTATACGCTTGTAATGCAAGCCTTACCAACTAACTTCTACACACAATCGAAAAGTGTAGCTGTGTATGTGTTGTAGTGATGAAAGTTTGTGAACAGAATAATATCAACTATTATTGTTTTATTTATATTTTTTTCACGCTCACGCTTGGCTCGACCTTCTTCTCATAGACTAATAGGTAGGATGAAATAACAGAAATGGACAAAAAAAAGGTCCGAGATTCTTGATATTTATTTATACGAATGGAATGAATGAATGCATGCAAAGTCATCTGGTACGGATATGTAAACTGATGAAAGCCGAGAAATCAGTCAGCCAATCATATTTGAGACTCGTAATATATATTGGTCGTAGAACTTTGTAGAAAATAGTTGGGTGAAGGCGCAGCTCTCTCTTGTTTCTGAGATGATATTCTTTCGAAACAAATAATTGATCATACATGCTATTTTTTTCCAAACGTCACATTGTTATACTTCAGCACGGTATTATTATGATTGTTGTGTGCTCTGGTATTTTTAAACCTATTAACAGACAAAGGCGGCGTGTGAATTTTAATAAATATCTCACTCTGCAGCTGCTGTGTATTATAACGCAATAAATTAGCTTATCTCCTATTTTTTATTTTTATGTGCCCAATACAAATATGCCAGGTATATCGATTGGATAATTTAAGTTTTACTCGAAATTTAATTCTCATAAATGGTGAGTCGGGTGAATTAATTCCGGACAATTTGGATCCTAACTAAATATGGAGATTATAATGGACTCCTGAATACAAAATTGATAAAGGAGTGTGTGACTCAAATAGTATTTTTTTTCGCTTAAAAATAGAAAGTCAAATTGATTATTTGAAAAATCAATATTTTATAGGTTTTGATTAAAAAATAAGAATTTAACTTGGATAAAAAAAATGCAAATCTAATTTTATTATGGAACGTTTCATTTAAATTTAATTAATCTATTTCTTTAGTAATTGATATATAAAATAAATTATAAATGATAAAATATTGCTCATAAACTTCTTCTCGAATTCTATTTATTTTTCGGTGACTGTTTTACCCCATTAACGATTCCTAGTCCTCCGGTGGGCATTAAGGAATTTTGACCGAAAGATGTCCTAATTCAGGAATCCCACAAAAAAAATCAATGCATAAACCAAATAAAGGTTAACACGTATCATAATAATGAGATTTCCCAACCTGCAAGTGGAACATTGAGGCATCATTTCACAAAAAACTGTGAATTAACAAAGCAAAGAGTAAATCATTTTTCCATATACCATCACAAATTTCATGTTATGATATATACTTGAAAGACACACGGAGCACACGTATCCAATATCAACAATTTTCTTATGGCAGAAACAAGCAGCCCGAAAGTCTACTTGATCTTGTCCTGGTAGACAGAGTGTTGTTCTTAAATACCGATCAGGCAAAAAGGTAAGCTGCCAAGTTCGTGCATAGATAGAATCGAAAGTATTTAGAAATTCAAATGCCAATCAGTTCACGTATGTTCGATATATTATAAACCACTAACCATTAGATACTGTAAGAAGCCTTTCGGCTTCTCTAATTTCATATATATCCCGTTAGTAATATGTGCCGCTTGTTGTAAAAAAACCGTTTCCTCACCAAAAACTTTGCATACATCTATCGGTATACCCTAAATGAAGAGTAATATTAGTAACATTTCATATTAATATTCAATCTGAAAATAAATAATCATATCCGTAGCGTACATACCGCTTTTTGAGCGGAGAAAATACAATTCATTATTGCTACATATTGGAATGGCGAATCGGAAGATAAAGTAATAACCAATATTCGTGGTTTAATGTGGTTACCATCGTCGGTTTTCAATAAACGATTAATATCTTAGAAAAACCGGCGAATTAAGATTTTCAATATAAAAAAAGATAACATTGCAAAAGAGACTCCCTGTCAAAAGTAATGGATACAACACATTGCCAACGAGAGGGCCCCAGCATCCATCGAGCTTGCTGTCATATTAAAAATCCGGGTAATCAGTATATGATTAAATACATTAAGCTATGAAAAAAATTCAATCTTCAATAATATTCGAATTTAACTTTTATTTACACTGATCCAAAGTTGAAATTTGAGTGTCCACATCTTTTAATAGATTTATAGCACCGGCAGTCACATGTTGGTTGACAGCACGAAAAGTTTGATACATGTTACTATCATTTGAGGAGTCTATTTCTTCAATCAAGTGAGCATTTGCTTCAGGTATTGGATAAAGGAATTTACTATAGAAAATTCATTCAAACCTCAGTGTTGTCAGCGAGCGAGTAAAGTCCGATGAAAAGTAAAAAGAGTTGTACCTAACACCTACATGACTTGCTATGACTGCAAGTCTGTTATCATGTTTCAATGCGAGGTGTGCATTGATGAATACTAAAATTTGGCTGAGAGCTTGGTCGAAAGATAAACCTCCTGGCGTGGCCGCGGCTTTTGCCCAGGCAAATGGATTAGTGTCGATTATCAAAACAAGTAAGTTGGATTCGTCTGTAAGAGGGGCTAAGATATTAATATAAAAAATAAAAAAAGCACGTTCAGCGACTGAAGGCTCACCTTCACTTACGGAGTCCGTGTCTTTCATCGTTTGAGACGAAGTTGTTCGAATTTTTATTTGTGACTCATCAATCGGATAAGAAATTAGATCAACAGATAAACTAGATAATAATGGTTTTTTAAATTTTTTAACGTATAACTCCCAAATTTCTATTTTTGAATTAATAATAATAACTGTGAGGTATGTCAATTGGAGTACCGATAAAACTTTTACACGAAGCTCAAGGGCATGTAGTCACTCTTGAACTAAACAACGGTACTGTGTATAGAGGAAAACTTTCTGAAGGTACTTCATTTGTTTCACATGCTTGACTTTCGCTTTTTTTTTTATTAGTTCGTATTTAAAAAAAAATCATTTAATAATTTATACCTCATGAATAGCTGAAGATAACATGAACGTACAGCTTCGAGAAATAACCGTTACAGCACGCGACGGACGTGTATCTCAACTAGACCAAGTTTACATACGTGGATCACATGTTCGCTTTTTTATAGTGCCTGATATGTTGAAGAACGCCCCAATGTTTAAAAAGATAGGGCCGAATGCAATGAAGGGTAGAGGAATAGGATTAGGCAGGGGAAAGGCTACAGTCGCACGAGCGCAAGGTCTGCTTGCAATTATTATGTTTTTTAGATCTATGATTTATTATTAATAATAATACGAATGATTCATGATCTTTATCTTATTATTTAAGCACGCGGAGGTCGAGGTCGAGCATTCCGTGGAAATCCTAGGGGTATACCACGCGGTGGTCGTCCACAATAATGTAATAACCAGTTCTTTGCAAGAAATATGGCCATTTAGATAATCAGCTAATAACAATAATTTCTTTGAAAAATTTTAGAATTACAGGAGTACTATCAATCTTCATATGTATCTTTTCTAGTAAATGCCTATTATTGAATTTTTTATAAAATGAGATTGATAAAAAAGCTTCAAAACCCAAACATCATTACAAAAATACAAAAACAAACCAGGAATAATCCGCCACTGTACAATCTCACAATACCGTGTCCAATCTTTTCCGTATTTACGACGGCACTTCTCCTCATCACGTAATTCACGGTGTATTAATAGTACGGCAAAATAGAGAACGTAAAAGTATGGAAAGATGTTGTCGAATCCTTTTTCGTCGGTTTGTTTTTGGTTCAATATTATCAATTTTTAAATATTTTTAGTTTGAGGTTCTAAAATATTAAATCGGACCATTGTTACTTACCACACGGTAGACACCATGCCCATGACATGATCCAATCACCTGTTTTTAAAAAAAATAAACATTTAATTTTTGTTATAAAAAAATCTTGCATATGTAAACCTTTGTTTTTTTTTTTTTACCTAAATAATTAATGTGCCGAGCTCTACCCCACCATCCAGAAATAATAAGCCGTGACCCTGCTTCTGTAGTAATATACTTCAAATCTAAACATCAAAGGTGTGCTTATTAGTTATCAATGTTATCAGTAGACGGACAAGAATCTTTGAAAACTCTTGGCATACGTTTAACTCTTGCATCCTCAGGATCATTCCGAAACAAGTTCTTCTCATTATTGGCACCTCGAAAAATGGCATATCCCACAGCCTGGGTACACACGATAAAAGCCGTTTGCAACCAAGATAAATGCACGGGATGTATAGCGAGATATCGTGCTTGTAAGCCATACAGAAATCCAACCCAGGAAATATTTCCGAACGAGAGCATCCATCCGAATCCATCAGTTGTGATGTCCATTGTTGTTAAGACCGCTGGCTATGGAAATCCGTCAAGAATTATAATGAATACGCGAAATAGGAAATATCGAAATTTAAGTCTAATATGCTATTATCCTCTTGCCTACCTCGTTGTATGCAGAGTCTATAGTATACCATCCCTGAAAAAGAACCACTAGAAACATTGCCATTGTTAAATCGCCTAGATCATTATACTGTTTCGCAGCCATTGCTATATTCAATATGGTCCATGCGAATATTCCTGCTCGTAGTTCGATAAAATACTTTATATCGAACCATCCGATACGTGGATTTAATTCACGCCCTATCATGAACTATGAAAAATGATCAATCTTAAATTTTATAAAATGATAAAATAACTTTGATTGACCCTTACATCGTAAATAACGTTTCCAGAATTTCCACCAAGCGCCAATAACACATGCCCTTTTCTGAAAGAAGCTAGATAGACACAAATAGACAGAATGAATGATACCAAAACCGAAGCGGTCATCAATCCAATAAATCTCTCCGAAATAAATAAAACCGAATCTGATCCTTTGAACCAAATTATCGCAAGCATGCCTCCAATAGTAATGACAAAGCTCTTGAATCCGTTCGCTTTGTATAGTAACTTATTGCCATCGCGTAATGTAGTCCCTTGTACCCAACGACCTGGTAACAAGTACCAGCTGACCACGAGATATAATAAGTACACAACGTATATCAAGAATGCGTGGAGGTCAAATAATCGGAAAAATTTATCGAGAGTAAAGAGTGATATAAAGTATGAAGGTGTCAGAAGATTGTTTATTAATTCGCGGCTAGGACATCCTTCTGGAGTGCAGCCCAGATGAAGTAGATAAAGTATTCCAGGAAGAACAACTATCATGAGAGAGGCCCCAATTGGGCCGAGAAATTCATATTCGGTGGTTCGAGGGTTTAACACTGTAATTTTCGATTTCATTTCCTTTTCCTTTACATGTAAACAAACATGTATGCAATCGATCGGTCACCATGAGCATATTAATGATGATCAACGTGACACACAAAAACTCCAGTCAAAATTGGGTATCGGTAATGAATTTTATCATAATTTTCGCAGATTTATTTATTGGATTCTTTTAATAACTCTATTGTGATGCTGATATACTTCGCAAATTTGGATATATTTCTGAGCACCTTTGACTATGGTAGGCCAATAAAATCGTTCTTTGATTTTTGCTATGGTAACATTTTGTCCTAGATGACCTGCTGTTGGATCATCGTGTAAATTATAACGTGCAAGGTTCTTTAATCTAATATACCAAGATAGGTTTTCCACTAAGTAGCGTAAAATAATTAGCATGCATCATCGGTTAATTGAAGGGATACAACTTCCCATAACGTCACCGGACTAGTATTATCTGGGGTTGAGCGTATTGCCTTTTCAGATTATTTAGCATACAGCTGTTCGCTTCATTTCATCCGAACATACGTACTGGGCAAGCAGGTGGGCTGCTCTTTCATCATTTTGTGGCTACCTTTCCAAGACTAAAAATTTTTCTTGGCTATTTGACCAGTATTTGATTAGCCAAATAATCATGACCAATTCTGGCCAAATAGACAATTGCCAATCCTGATTTAACATAAATAAAAATCAAATATATTTATTTATATGAGTGATTTATTGGCTATTTTGCTTATTTTGACTATTAATCTTGACTGATGATCAAATCATGACCAATAGTCAAAAAAATTCTTGGTCATAGTCAAATATTAATCCTGTTTTAATGAGTATTGAAAATATATTAATTTATATTACAAATATCTATATGTATTGTGATTGGATAATATATATTTTATTAATTTATGATTCATATAATAATAGAACAAATCTATTAGATAATAATGAGATAGATTTTACTGATCCTTATAATAAATAAAAAAAATGAAAATTTTCAAGTTATAGATAATACTAGCTTATTTTTAACTTTGTCATACAAAAATCTAGTTAATTTATATCTTAAAAGTCAAACTACTTTTTAATTTATTTTTTCATAAGTATATATAGGCAAGTTAAATTTCAAATTAAATTTTTATTAAGCTAATTATTAATTTTGCTTGATAATATAACTAATAGCATAATATTTAGTATTTCTTAACTATTTTAAAGATTAATTATAAAGTTTTTAAATAATTCAAGATTGATTAAAATGAAAAATAATAATAATTACTAATATTTTTTAATTATATTCAGGCTAATTATGAATTAAAATTATAATATAAACCTATATAAAACAAGTATTATAATATAAAAAGATATATCTGATAAAAATATTCACAAATAAAAATAATATATATATAATATATATTTATTTATTTTATTTTTTGATTTCTTTTTTATTATAATTATTTTTTAGATTCTTTTTTTCATAACTAAGCTACTGCTTCTACTATTTTTTAATAATATTAATTTATATAATAAGAGATTTAATTACTTATAGTTTCTAATTTTAATACTTTATTTTTTTTAAATTATACTCCTTTTTATATTTTATTTTAGTTAAACAAATATACTTTCTATTATAGTAGCAATCAAAAATAATGCAACGCTTAAATTTTTTACTAATTATAATTAATAAAAAATTTAAGCGTTATATTATTTTTGATTGCTACTATATATATCTTTTACTTTTATTAATATTACTCTCTAAAAAAAATTCTTACAAAAGATTTTATACTTTCTTAAAGATATATTTTTTATTTTTATATTTTTTTATACTTTTATATAGATTTTAATATCCAGTTACAAGTTAATAGTTAAAGTAAAAATTCAAAGCTATAATTCTAATATATTAATTTAATTACTATTAACTTTGCAAATCTAATAAATTAAACTATTTATCTTGATTTATTATTAATTCTTTACTTCTCTTTATTATTTATTCTTTTTCTTTTATAGATTTTGTCTTATATATTATTACCATTTTTGGTGCTTCTTGAAAAGATTATTTCATGGTAGGTTAATAATTTTATATATAATATTTGCTAGGATAATATATAATAAAGATATTATTAATTACAGATAGGAGAGACTAATATAATCAAAGATATAATATAATAGATATTAGACTATGATTATAACATGATTAAAGATAGGTAATAAGAGTGTGTTCATAATATGGTCAGCTAAAATGTGAT